TCTGACGCGTCTGCCTCCGCGACCCGAAAGGAGAAGCGGCGATGGAAGATGAAGATGAAGATGAAGCATTATCCACTTATTGTGTATGAAACTACCTCATCTGTCTGGGTTGTTGATTATAATTTCGACTTATCTTTTCATGAATATTTTAATTTAGCTTATTTTTGTCTTTGTTATAAGGATACGGGCATGTCGAAATGCTGTGTTCAGGAATTTCGATCTGATTGTCTATCCCGCTTCCTTTTTCATTCATTTTGGTTGAGCTATGCCACATGCGCTTTGGTTCTGATCTGTTTGTCCCTGTTTCGTTCTTGCTTCTATGGGCATAGAAATTGTGGTATTCTGTTTACCGTCCTTGTTCTATCTTTTGAAGATTTTTTCACTGCCCCAGTAGTGTTGCTCCTGAGTCAGTTATTCTAGATTTAGTTTAAAGTGATAGTTATTATGAACGTTGGACGTCGAACTCAAGGTTTCCTTGCACTTTCGCTGGTGATGCATTTCTCTTAGCGCTTTTAGCTGTACACGAAGAGTTCAAAGAATACAACGAACTCGCATTTCGTGCTCCTTCAGTATTACAGCGAGGACTAGATCAATTACCTGACCATCAATGATGAGCACGTAACTCCTTCAGAAGCGGATTTCGGATTACTACTGCCCTGACATTTGTATGCTTACAGGGTCGTTTTAACAGGTTATTGCTCGTGGTACTTCAAATGTTAGATGCATCTCGTCACATTAGTTTCTTCGCTGGCGCCGTTTCCCCCATCAAAATATGGGTCGTACACGCTCTGACGAATTACTCTTCCGTGACTAGGTTTCACATACTACATTACAGGCAGTGATGCGGTTATAATGTGGGTGATCTATTGAACAGCTCGTTTAAGAGCCTATGCATTAAACGGATATATGGGAGCATTACTGCTGGTTCAAGCAAGTTAAATCTGACCTGAATTGACGGTTACAAAAATGCTGGCTGATTGCCAGAACGTTTTACTAAACTGTTGATCGCGAATCTTTTGTAACCAGTTTTTTCGAATATTCTGCTGTTCTGTTAATGAGTGATGCAATCTTCGTTTCTTTTGTACTTTAGGCTAAACTACAGCGGTTAATTGTCGTCTGTACCGACTTCAAAAACGGGCATTTGTTGAGTCTTGCTGCACAGCTGAATTTCAACTACTTTTATGTTCAACGGCGTGTGAAGTAGAAATATGTCAGGTCATTGTCAGATTGCCATTCAGCCGCAGGAATTGGAACGAATATTTCCCGTGCAATTTTGTGTATTTGCTCTATTTTATACGAAAAATTAATCTCGCTATTATGGTTGTAATAGTAAATTGGTAGTGTTCAATACCGCCAACAAAAACAACAGTCTCCTGTCACTTCTCACATTCGGACAGCCGACAGATGCTCTTTATTTGTTCGTCAAAGCGTTGATAATTTGCTATTTAAACATAATTAACCTGTACTCACAATAGCAGTGTACTTAACTTAGAATAATTCAGCACAAAGGTTACGAAAATATCTTCGCAAAGTTACGCGCTTCGTATATCCATTTGGGTAGTATCAAGTATTTAAGAAGCACAGTACGACTCATATAATTACACTTTGTGGCATGGCTGCTGGAATCGACGAAATCCGCCTTGAAATGCTTAAAGCTTTAGACGAACAAGGCATACTATGGCTGACGTGCCTGTCAAGCTGTAATGACTAGGTAGTACCCTTGTTCAAGAAGAGACTATATTTTTGGGGGCACTATCCTATTGCGCCTCTCAAGAAGAGCCTTTGGAAAGGTGCTACGGAACAGTTAGCTAAAATCCAACAAGAGCAGTGTGGCTTCAGGTCAAGCCGAGCCACTACTGACCAGATCTCCGGCTTACGCTAGATTGTTGAGAAATCGTGTGAATTCCTTCATCTGTTCAACATATGCATTGTTGACCAGAATCAAGCCTATTGCCGAATCTCATGCAACAAACTGTGCGTTCTTGCAAACGGTTTTTACGAGTTATACAAACACTGTATGTTGATGGTAGGTGCTGTGTCAGAGTAAATGGCCTTAAGTCGGAATGTTTCAACGCCGGCACTGGTCTCTGTCAAGGCTGCGTACTGTACTCTCTTCTGTTTGTGTATTGTGCATGGATAGAATAGTCAGGCGGCGAGTGAATCAGCGTAAGAGATGTACAGACGACAAGGTTCCTGTTTGTTGACGGTCTTGTTTTTTCGCCATTTTACAAAACTGATTTCCGACACTGTGTGGTAAGGTTCGGGGCTGAGTGCGACGTAGCTGGCATGTATGAGAACGTGTATGAAACGAAACACCTAGTGCTTTCTCGTTCCTCTGTCTGTTGCACCATGAAGATAAACGGACAAGGAGTAGGACAGACGGAGAAGCTCACGTACCTTATGGTCGTGTTAGGCGGTGATGGAAAATGGAAGTGACCGACCGGCGGACTGGAATAGTGAGTGGCGTTGTACGTAAACTAGTCTGAATCGTTAGTACTAAAGCAGAGGTGAGTCTGAAGACTAAAATCTCTGTTTAGTCGATTTTCATCCCAATGCTTACCTACGGTCATGAATCTTGAGCGATGGCTAAAAACTTCTCCAGATTCAGAAGTCACAGATGCGATGGTTTGGGCCAAAAACAGTGTGAAACAATTACTGCCTACTCAACCGATCATCCAAAGAACTCGCAACGGCCAATAATAACCTGAGACAAGTGCCTGGACGAACCTCGCTCTAGACCCGGCTTATCATTTGGCGAATTTCAAACGCTGCACAGGGTCGGAAACGTTGGAAGCACTGTTTTACGGATTTGTCTCCGTCGCCTGAAGGCAGAAGCGGGGCACGTTCTCTGACTGCCTTTTCAGTTCGTTGTCGATTTCTGGTTGTCTTTTACTATTTGACCATATCGTCAGACTTTCTGGATTATGAATTCATAGTTAAATTATTTCTGCATATAGTGCGGTTAGAGATCCTAGTTATCGTTAGCTTTTATTCTATCACTTATGTAGTAGCAACGGAGCCACTGACCTTAACGGCAACAGTTCTAAGTGAAACTACACTGTCAAGCCTGTCAATTCTTTTGATTCACTGTTATGGCAGAGTCAACCCAACGTCAATGGGGCGAGCAGGCATCTCGCGTTTTCCGGGTTATTGATATTGATACAAATCGTCAACTTCTCATTCATACACCACCGATACACTGTCTGAAATTATTCGATCCAGCGTGGGAACGAAGAATGATACCACGACTGAGTTTCGAGGAACGTGGCATGCAGGGGGACAATGCCACCACTTATACGAAATGCCTCACCGTCAACCGGACCATTTAAGCCCCTGGCATAAACTAGGCTCGCCAAGAATGATCGAGAATACACAGGAGTATAACAGGACAACATCGATGCGGACACCTCCACCGCTGGAATATGAAGTCCAGTGGCGGCCATAAAAATTAGACCATATAGCACATTATTGTCTATTTAAGCCCGATGCGAAATTTCGATATCCAGAATGCCACCGCGGCGGATATTCATCGGCTTCGAAGTCTGAATATTGAACTATAAAGTTGCTAGTCACCTCTTCCCATCTGTGCAACAGGAAAAGATTGTTATGACGAAGACTATGGTATTCGTTAGAGGATATATTTACTTCTTCATTCGCTGTTTACATAATAACAAGAATCACTGTAACTGCTGTTGAAAAGCATCGGGTCTTTACAGTCGACGTAGTCGCTTGATGTAAAGTCCGTCACAAGTTTCCAAAGGAAGTTTATGTACAAATGTCTACGCGCTCAATCGAAGATGACTATCCAAGATCTGGAACAGTTCTTGAAGTTGAGGTATTCTTCCGGAGTCTAGCTTGGACCAAAC